TTTTTCATTTGTTGTTTCACTGTTGGCCAATACCATTCATTAGCTTCCTTTATCATTTTTTGTTTGGTTGAGTTCTTTTTATGGTACTCTGTAGAGCACACCTGGACACTGTACGGCCCACGGGCCACATCTGGCCCTCGGACTATCTCAGATCTGCCAGTATAAGATCGTTGTTTAATGAATAGTCAAAATAAATGTGTATCTACGGCAACTATTACACAACGGCACGTGGATGGAATACCACTGTAAGGTTTGCTTTGTTGTCTTTTTGGCTTATTTTCCTTGACATTTTGTCAATGTAAATAACTCAAACAAAATGTTATTTGTCATTATGTTCCAGAAACAAATGGAAATAAATTAAGTGATTTACTTTGACAGGAACACGTTCCGAGAAGTTAAAAAATAAAACAGTGGCCATCTCCTCCTGATACATGGATCACATGCTACATGTTTTATCAAGACTGGGTCTGTTTTTAGTTTTAAAAAAATGTTAGCATGATATGAAAGATGACCAACTGCCTCAAAAAAATCCTGAAAAAATTAGGTTTGGGATTCTGAAGAAGTTTCAATTTAGAATGGTTTTCAAGGGTGAAATGCAACATGACTGCTGGTTTCTGCTGGACTGCATTTAGTTAAAAGCTTACCACAGCCATGGACATGTGGTACACACATTGTTTTGCTTGGGCTGCAAGTAGAGAATAAAAAAAAAAAAAAGGCCATAAACTGGGCAAACCGTGTTGAACACATATTGGCTGCAGTTGCCCGTTACCCAAATATAAGGGAAATAGCAAGGGATCCATAGAAAACCTTTGGACAAATGGGTCCAATTTGTACCCACATTGACCCTGCACCAGGGGCAGGGCTTTGGTGTGGAGCGGGAAGCCAAAACCAGTAAACGGCCTACACCAGAACGTCACCATTAAAGAGAATCCCACCACATCTGTAGCATCCGAGCGTGATGTTTGTTCACGTGCAAATGAAGTGAAATGTGTTTATGCCGAGGTCGTTTCAGTGTTTGTTATTAGGGCTATTTGTTCTCATCATTCGAGCTGCTGTCTGTTTATGTGACATGCACATGGATCCAATTATCTCTGGATGACTTCAATTAAATAACGTGGGAGACAAAGTCATAGCAGCACACACACACCCACACACACACACACACACAGACAGAAACCCAAAGTGAATGAAAACTAAATGAAGCAAATTCTGGAACATTTTATATACGGTGGTTTTTGATGAAAACCGAAGGGTCAGAAACCGACCTGCCTGACGTGCAGAAAAAGCAAACACCATGATGTCATCGAATGCCCAGCTGTAGTCTGGGTGAGGGGGATAGAACGCTAGCTCCTTGCTGTTTTCCCGGCGCAGGTCTAACAGGAAGGTGCTGTGCACCATGGGCACTGGGAAACAGCCCAGTCGTTTCCACTCCCTGATTGGCTGGTAGTCTGGGGTTCGCTTGTAGTAACCCTGACCGAGAAAGAGAGAGAGAGAGAGAGAGAGACTCGCCAACATGATGCTAATGCAGGCGTGGGCAAACTTTTTGACTCGCGGGCCACAGTTGTCCTAAAAATTAACAGGGGGGCCGGGTCAGGAGCAGATAGATGGAGCGTTCATGTGAACTAAAATAAATTACATGTAAAAGCATAAAGGCTAAAATGCTTTTATCATTTTCTACACCATCTATTGGGGAAATGTGGGTATTGCAGGGAAAAAAGCAGAAGTATAACGATAAAATAATTATATAATTTGGAAAAGTTTGGCGGGCCAGATTAAAAGGCTGAACGGGCCACATCCGGCCCAGGGCCTTAGTTTGCCCATGCATGCGCTAATGTGACAAACCCATGGATGCTTCAGTCAATGTTTCAGCTGTACCTGCGAAGTAATGCCGCACCAGTAGTTGGAGTAGAGGGAACGGGACTCTAGCATTGGAGCCGCCACCGTCAAATTCTCGGCGATCAAGAGGTTCAGCACACGAGGGTTCGTCAGCAAGTTGTCGCTGTCTACAAACTAAAGAGTTGAAAAAAAAAACAATGTAAGTTCCTTTTTATAAATTGTATAAAAACAACAAAAATGAAGGATTCATTGAAGTGATATTAAAATGATGCCACAATTGCAAACTTTCAATAAAATTACAGAAGGGTTTAACGACGTCCTCGTCGGCATCTCCCATAAATTTATTCACCCCCCCCCCAAATTGAAATATTATTGAGCGCCTGGTAAGTATTTACCCCCCCCCTAAATTGAAATATTATTGAGCACCTGGTAACATTTATTTAATCACCCGCATTCTGCATACAATCCCCTGATTATCAATATAGATTAATAAAATGAGCTACAATGCTGCCATCTAGTGACTAGAGGCTTGTTTAGCATTGATAATGTTCTGTTTGTTTGTTATGAAGGCGTTAACAGTTACGGGTATGGGAGGGGGAGTGAGGAGGAAAAGGAGTTTAGAACGAGTTACTGCAATTGTGTTTCAATAAAAGTCCTTCAGAGAACTGAGGCAGCTGATTGGTCCGTCGCCAGGGCATTAAACTATTTTTAGAGCACACACCTGATTGGTCCGTCGCCAGGACTAGCAAAAATTAGACTATTTTTAGAGCACATAATTTTGCCAAACCCAGGCATTGCGTTATCAGATTTAAAAAACAAAACAAAACGATAACGATTCTTACAGATATTAAACAATTATGCTAACATCCGCCAATATTATCGCTCGGCCGATATTATCGGACCTCCCTAATTATGTCATGAGTAAGTGTCCCTGTCAATATCTCACCAATATGTAATCCGCCCATCGCTCCCTGGCAGCCTTTAGCGCTGCTTGTCTCAGCTTCATCACATGATTGAAGCGGGAGGGAGGCCAGTGTTTTGGACCCCACTCGTCCGTGTAAGACCTGCCAAAGATCAACAGTTATTCCAAGAGTGATCTGCACAGCGCCAAATGTGTTCAGAAGACTTAATATTGTAAGTCTCACCTCGGCTCCTCCATAGGTCTCCACTCAACGTAGTGGTAAACACGCTGGGCTGTCTTCAACCAGTCCCTTAAAATGGCAGTGGTGTTGTCAACATTGTGGTCTGTTGCTGCCCTGGAAAACAAACACACACACAACACAGAAAGGTGTAACTAAAATTATGGAAGACCACAAGCCTCACATCCTGCATCAGTTCCACTGTCTGCTATTCAGTTTAGTGAACTGAAGAACCTACAGCCTGGGACTTAACGCCCCCTGTTGATCATGAAACCTGTTGATGTTAACTAAGGTCTAAATCTAAAGGTGTCAAACTCATTCTGGTTCAGGGTCCACATACAGCCTGATTAGAACTGGGCCGGACCACTACCATCATAACATAATTACCTATAAATAACAATAACAACTCCATGTTTTCCCACCTTGTTTTTCTGCAAATAAGAAATCTAAAAAATATTTAATGAAATATAATTTGAACACATCATGAACATTAAATGTTTGTCCATTTTTATCACTTTCGAAATGGATCAAGTGGGCCGGATTGAAGCCCCTAGCGAGCCGGTTTTGGCCCACAGGTCGCATGTTTGACACAACAGTCTTAAATATATAGAATATTATATATAATAATTAATAATAAAATTAGAATAAACTCTGTCAAAAGAGAGCTCACTGTCTGATTTTTAGGTGCCTAATTTCGATACATTTTCAAACTTTGGATGAAAGAAATGAAAGATGAAATCCTGTAACCTTCTTCTAATTGTTCCTTTTCTAAATCAACTCAAATAGCATTCTACATGGATGACATCAAAAATGGTACCTTTGATTTGATTTGCTTTTTTTTCCAAATATTAATAAATATTAAATTTGTGATTTAAAGCAAAAATAGATACAGAGTTAGCAGGAAAACAATTAGCATTAGTAGCTGCGTGTATTTACTAAAAATACCATGTTTAAGGATCCAGCACTATAAAAACAATAAAGTAGTATTAAGTACAGAACCTGACAAAGTATTAAATTACAACTTCCCAGTAGAGTCAAATCGATTTTGTCATCGCTTTCAAAAAAAGGCATGTCGGAGATTAATGTTCCAGCCCCTGGTGGAACCCTTTGGAACTGCCCTTTTTAATGTTGATAGTTTAACAAAAGCCTTTGATTTGATGAAATTAAAAAGTATAAACTGATTTCATGTATAAAATGGAATTCGAGTTGATGCTAACACAAGACATTCAAAATACCCAGCGACCCTTTAACTCATGCTAACAGTTCAAATCTGTCGTCATCAGCAGTTAGTGACTGTGGCTTCCACTCTGCCTCTCGGTTTCTCCGCATAAATCTTCGCTTCACCTTCAGAGTACCTCCAGAAGAGACAAGGCGGCTATTGTACAAGGTGACGAAAAGTGTCCGAGTATGAAGTTATTAAAAAAAAAAATCCGTAAACACACTCAGCCTTAACGTTTGCTATCACTTTCACGCGTTTGGACAAGTCGGCCCCACTAATAAAACTCCTGTTTTCTGTATATCTGGTCATTTTGGGAGACAAGGTCAACAGAAATGTGCAGCGGAGCCATGAAGCCAAGCATGCACATTTAGTGAAATGTAGTTTTCCACTGCTTCTGTAATATTCCTACACACGGCCAAAATTTACTCCAAACTCACCGCAGCACAAACACATACTATTTTCAGGTAAGTACACACTCCGAAGGGAAAATAATAGTACTGCCTGATGCTTTAACCCTCACTTATCACAAACGGCGGCACAGAAACACCTGTTCGCTGTTAACGACACATTTTTAGAGAGTGGGAGATGCTTATGATGGTGGACAGACGACGCAGGGTGCGTGCACCGTCATGATTAACACACAAGTGTTATTTAAAAAGAGGCCAAAGGTGTCATTTCTGGAATTTCTGCCCCGCCAGAGAGGCAGACAGATGCATTTTAACACAACACCAGCCCCATATCTGACCGGCCTGAAAAGTCAAAATAATGTGTAACTACTACTAATACTAACTATTATACTGCGATGTAACCGCAGGGCTTTTATTTTGTAGGGCTGCACGACTAATCGAATTTGAATTATAATCACGATTTTGGCTGCCAACAATTAAATAAAGAAAATTGTGGTGATATTAACATTCAAAATTCAATCTAACCTACCATAATCCTGGACTATAAGTCGCACTTTTTTTCCATCCTTTTGGCTGGGTTTGCGACATACTCATGTGCGACTTATATATTGAAATATATAATTTCACATGATTGTTATTTTCACACTGACAGCCACTAGAGGGCACTCTGACTGGCTGTGCGAGGTATACTAAGGAGCGATTTATATATGTTTATTTCTTCTTCGTTATTCTTATTATTTTCAGCTAAAGGTCACTTATAGTGTGGAAACATGGTAATCAATTGATCCCATATTGGGGAAATTGTAAAAGGTAACGCCCGAACAGGGACTTGAACCCTGGACACTCAGATTAAAAGTCTGATGCTCTACCGACTGAGCTATCCGGGCTCTTAGGTTAAGGAGTAAAAAAAATATAGTAGTATATATAGTATACAAAATATACTGTGGAGGCATTGGAGGTGAGCATAAACGAATACAAAAATATAGTAGTATATATAGTATACAATATAGTATAATATATAGTATACAAAATATATAGTATACAAAGAGTACTGCAGAATGCATCTGCACCACAGGGCAACACAACTACCTCATTCAACCACCAGAAAGAACACCACACACTGAAATGCGATGAATGGGTCTAGGCCAAAGCTAATGCTAACGCTAGTCCACTAAATCCAATGTCGAGAGCCACCTCAGGCAACCATAACTGCAACCCTGCACTCAGTGACAGGCTGAAATAACACACACAATTAACTTTTATTTGGCTAAATACGTGCCCAATAAATGCTTGCTCAACAGCAACAGGCACATGGTGAATGGCATTTTTTTTTTTTTTTGCATTAGCCTTTTGTCTCGGCTAAATTAAAATGCAATATTAATTATTTATCATTTATTTAAAATGTTTTACGTAACAATAAATAATCGTGATTAACAATCGTGATTTCAATATTAATAATAAAAAAAAAAATTGTGATTATGATTTTGGCCAAAAGGTTTTTGTGTTTGTTTCAAATTTGACGTCTGTCCCAGATGTATCAGCAAATGTGTTGGAGCAGCTGTGTAATATCTCAGACATCTGCAAGAAACAGGAAGACATTCTCAGATGTCCAGGTTATCAAAAACTGTTTGTTGTTGACTTTTCTCACGGCCCATTAGTGCTGCACTAATGGGCCGTGAGAACAGTGTTCCCAAATGTGTCCCTCTGCAGGTGAACCATAGCCACACTGGTTAAGGAGATTGCAGACATTTGGAATTCCAGCTGGGCAGACCAACAGTCCATATATGGACCAATAATTCCACCGTCACAAATAGGAAAGTGAACTATTTGTCATTGTGACACAGCACACCACCAAATGTGACCTCTGTCTTTAAACCCATCACCAAAGTGAACAGTGGGCAGTGTGTGGGGACAATGCCATGCTCAGAGGACCTCAGAGGTAACTTGGACTCGAACCTGAAGCCTTCCGGACTAACTTGGACCGGAACCTGAAGCCTTCCGGACCCAAGTCCACTTCCTTAACCACTAAGCCACCACCGCCCAGATAAAAGCAGATGTAAACATCCATACATCTACCTGCTGATATCTGTCTTTGTCTTATAGCAACATACAGTAGAATGACCGCCTTAAAACACATACAGATTTCGAGAATTCTGACTCAACCTGGTCTTTTTTTTCCCTTTAATATTCCTCATTTGGACACCCTCAGCTACAATAAAACGAATGCCTAACTTTTCCAAACCTCTGCTTCCAGCAATGGAAAACAATTTAAATGGACTAAGGTGAAGGACATCCAGCGTGCACACCTGTTTCTGTAAGCTGCTCTGCCTCCACTGTTCCTTTCTCTGAAAGCTCTAAAAGTCGATGATTCCACCAGTCAGTCAGTCAGAAGTCGGTCTGAACTACCGCAGGTAGAAGTTTTCCTGCTTTCTGTCCTCACTGTGGTTTGTACTGAGCTCATACTGTGCCCTACAAGTTGTTGCTCTAACTAAAGAGATATCAACAAGTACACTAATGAAAATACACACACTCATATACAGTATTTTCCAGACTATAAGTCACTCCGAAGTATAAGTCGCACCAGCCGAAGGATGAAAAAAAAGTGCGACTTACAGGAGTAGCAGAAACTGGTGCACAAGCCTAGAGTGCCCTCTAGCGGCTGTCAGTGAGAAAATACCAAACATGTACATTTTCAGTGGTACAGGAGTAGCAGATACTGGTGCACAAGCCTAGAGTGCCCTCTAGTGGCTGTCAGTGGGAAAATAAACACGTGAAATTATATATTTTTTATACAAGTCACACCTGAGTATAAGTCGCAAACCCAGCCAAAGGATGAAAAAAAATGTGACTTAAATTATAGTTTGTAAAAACAAAATGGTATTGGAACAAGTTTAAAAAAAAGGCATGAGGCGAGTTCGTGAGAATTCACACATCTGTTTGAAATAAATGAGTGTGAGAAAGACATTACAAAAAAAAAAACAAAAAACCGGGAACAAAGGCAATTGAAAAAAAGCATGAATTGTTTTGAGCATCAATAAATATGCAACACACTATTCTGCTGTCTTAATCCGACACAACACACTGAAGTAAGTAGGAGGTAGAAGAGGGCAGGAGTTCCCTACGTGTCTTACGTAGGAATGATTGAATAATGAAACGTGGAAACAATTCCTAACATGAAACATTTTACCAATAAGATAAAAATACCTTTTTTAGATCTTACTTTCACTGTACACTGCACATATAATTGTGATTCTGCACAGAAGAGATTCCTCACCGGCTCTGGATTTTCTCATGCTCTCTCTGATTGGTCAGCCTGCCCAATGAGCTGCTTCTCTCAGCACACTGACTTTCCATTACCAACTTTACATCTCTGCCTGTCTTCCATTTCTGGAAATGTGAATAACTATAATTACACAGGGAAGCACGGTTAAAGAATGCATACATGGATGAAGAGAAGGACGCGGCTTATTTGTCTTGTTTTTTTTTTTATT